GAGCACCGAGGACTCCGGCTCCGTGTCCTCCAGAGCTCCTCAGGAGGCGGCCCGGGGCCACGCCGACCCCGGAGAAGTACGCGGAGGGGCTCCCCAGAACCGAGGCCCGCCCGGCGCCCCCAGGCCTTCGGTGTTCGCCTGTTCCTGGAGAGGACCGTGCGCAGCGCTGCTGCGGAAGTCGGAGAAGCCTCGGAGCTGAATGCCCGTGGAGCTGGACGCCTTCAAGGGCAACGTCACGAAGCAGCTGATCAGAGGCTGACCTCGGCCGAGGCGCCGGCCCCCACGAGATGCTGCTGTTCGAGGAGCCGGTGATCCGCGGTGAGGTGGACAGCGGTCGGCCCTTCCTGTCGGTAGCTTGGTGGTCGCGTTCACTGACTGTTCCTCGCGCTGTAGCCCAACAAAGAGAGTACCAGGAGTTCCAGCAGCTGAGCCAGGAGGTCATGCACCTAGACAATGTCCTCAAAGTAAGTGCCCGAGCGGGGACCCCGGGTCGGGGGGCGAGAGAGGGGGCTGAGCGGCGTTCCGTCTATGGCAGCATGTCTTCATCTTCCATCCTGTCCCATCACAGAGCTCTACACAATGGCTCTTTATTTTTTAAAATATGTTTTTATTGATTTCAGAGAGGAAGGAAGAGGGAGAGAGAGATAGAACCATCAGTGATGCTGCCCGCCCTAGCCAGTGTGGCTCAGTGGGTAGACCTGCAGACTGAAGGTTCGATTCTGGTCAAGGGCACGTACCTTGATTGCAGGCTCCACGGCCCGGGCCCTGGTCAGGGCTTATGCAGGAGGCAACCAATCGATGTGCTTCTCTCACATCGACATTTCTCTCCGTCTTTCCCTCCCTCTTCCACTCTCTCTAAAAATCAATGGAAAAATATCCTTGGGTGAGGATTTAAAAAAGTAATTAAAAAATAAAAATAAAAATAAAGAATAAACACACCCGTATTGTACACGATCACGCTCTGCAGATGCCAAGCGTAGGAAAGGAGAACCAGGAAGTGGTGCCTCAGAGGTGAGGGCTGGGGCGAGGGCTTTGCGCCCACTGGCCGGCGTTCCGGCAGCGGCTGGACGTGGCTCTCTCTCTTTCCCCTTCACGTTCCCAGGATGCATAGCACCTTGAGGATGAGAGACTAAATGATGCCGCCCCTCGGACGGAGATCCCGAGGGCGACTGAGCAGCTCTGATGCATGAGCACCTGTGCTGGGTGGCCTCCTGGGCGTAGAGACAGCCCCCACCAGGCCCTTCCGCCTGTGTCCCGAAGTCGGCACGAGGACCTTAGTTCTGCCACCTTGCAGGACTTGCCCCGTTCCACCCACCCCAGCGAACCCTTGACTATTGGGAAGTACCTCTCTCCACCTCCATGCCTGTAGCAATGGGCGTTATTCTGTGTGTGATGTCTGCGAGTCTGTCCAGTGCCGTAGGATTCTCTGAGCCACAGGTCTGCCCCCCGTGACTCCGGGCCACAGGCCGGGTCAGGGAGGTGACGGAGCAAGGTCCTTCCAAGGCTGAGCTGGGAGGAAGCAGCGCTGCTGCCTCTCATGGTGCCCACCATTCATGTCTCCTCGATGCAAAGGAAAATGATGTGCTGTGAATGTAGATGAGCTTTTAAGGCCACTTTCCCAGGACGCGTGGGATAGTGAAGGGCACCTCGCTCTGTTTCTGGGGGCCGTCCTGTTCATCCTTCAGAGCAGGGGCCTCGCTAGCAGCTCCCATCTTGAGGAGACGAGGCCTCGTGGAGTTAGAGGCTGCTCCTGTCCCACCCTGGACCCACCTCTCCCTCCATGTCTCCTGGGTCATATTTTACTTGGGGTTGAGCTCCAGGCAGAGGGACATGGCAGCTCTGATTCCCAAGGCTTTTAGGTTGTAATAGATGTTTTTTAACTTTCTTTTAACACGTTAAGCACCATGTCAGTCACCGGTGACTGACACTACACTTTCCGTTTGGACCTCGTCAGTCTCCGGCCGCCAGCATATCGGTGAAATCAGATATCGCGGGCTAAACGGAAAGGAAGACAACACAGGCTTGGCACTTAACATGTTAAAATATATTTTTACTGATTTCAGAGAGGAAGGGAGAGAGAGAGAGAGAAACATCAATGATGAGAGAGAATCATTGATTGGCTGCCTCCTGCATGTCCCACACTAGGGATCGAGCTCTCAACCCCGGGCATGTGTCCTAACCAGGAATTGAACCATGACCTCCGGGCTCATAGGTCAACGCTCAGCTGCTGAGCCACGCGGGGATGTTTTTGAACTTTTTATTATAAAAATTTCCAATAGCAGTAGAGCAAATAGATAACGGACCCTCCCCTCCCCCCCCCCGACCCCCACCCCCCACCCCCAGCTTCCACGTGCTCCTCTCCCGGCCAATGTCCTCGTCCCGTCTTCGAGCTGCTTGCTTCCCTCTGCATTAGTTTGGAGCAAGTTCCAGAGATTGTGCCACTTGATTCATGGTTGTTCTTTTTTTAATATGAATATGTTAAATGCGTTTGTTTTTAATGCCAATAAAATACAATAAAACAAAAGCTTGAAACAAAGACAGTGTCACCTGTTCCTATTGGTCAGAGCGGGTGCTGGGTCCCATCCCCTCGGGGACGCTGGCTGTGTCCCCCCTGTCGGGGTCGTGGGGGACGCTGATGTGCCGGTGCCCTGCCTTGCAGTGTAAGCCGCCCGGAAGCCGCAGCACGCCCTCCAGCCTGAGCCTGACGGTGGAGAGCGCCCTGGAGAGCTTCGACTTCCTGAACACCTCTGACTTCGACGAGGAGGAGGACGTGGACGAGGGTGGCCCTGTGGGAGGTGCCGACTCGGTGTTTTCAGACACGGAGACTGAGAAGAACGGGTGAGCCTCGCCGGCGTGTGACTCTCCCACCTCCCTGCGCTGTGCCTGGCGGCCCCTCCGTCCCTCCCTCCTCCGCCCCCTGCAGCCCGGGGGTCTCTCGGGAGAAAGCTCCTCGGTGCAGCATCACAGCCAGGTGTCAGCCGGGCACCCAGGGCCACAGGGCACACGGGCACCCAGGGCCCAACCGAGCGTTTTGTCCTTTGAGGCAAAGTGCCCAGAGCAGCACCCCAACACCTGTGAGCTCTGGTGCCCCATCTATTTACACCACGGGGATGGAGAGCCTGAGACAGGAAGCCGGGAGCTGGGCTGTCGCTGGCCAGGTGTGCGAACCTGGGACGCTGGTTGTCTCTGCCAGTCCTTGTGCCCCCCCCCCCCAGCACCCAGGTTCTTTCTGGAATAAAATAGACGCGACAGACTGATTTTTCCATGCGAGTGCCCATCACCATGTCACTGGGCAGCTCTGCCTTGGGCTTTTTGTTTTGTGTTTAAATATGTTTTTATTGATTCTTAGAGAGGAAGGGAGAGGGAGAGAGAGATGGAAACACCAATGATGAGAGAGAATCATGGATCGGCTGCCTCCTGCAGGCCCCACACTGGGGATCGAGCCTGCAACCTGGGCCTGTGCCCTGACCTGGAATTGAACCGTGACCTCCTGGCTTATAGGTGGACACAACCACTGAGCCACCCGGCCGGGCCGTGGGGCATAAACAAAGCCGGGGAGGCAGAAGGAGGCGGGACCTCCCGCGGGACCAATGCCCCTTAGCTTTTGTCCCGAGTGGAGGTCCGGTCTCTTGTTGGCAGAGTTGCTGCCTCTTTGCTTCAGGAAGGGACTGACGAGGTCAGGAAACTGGCTCCGCAGGTTCGTTCCGAGCACGGTTTAATCCGGGACCCTGGGCGGGTCCCCCATCACGAGTGTCGCCTGGGCGGGTTTCTGAGACTCGGTGAGGCTGCTGGCGAGCGGTTCTCTGTGCCGAGCGCCGGGAAGCGGTTTTTCTGCCTGGCCTTTTACATCAGGCACATCGGCGACAGGCTGACTTGAGATGTGTTTGCAAGGTAGCTCGAGCCCTGGCCGGTTTTCTCAGTGGATAGAGCATCGACCTGCGAACCCCAGGGTCCCGGGTTCGATTCTGGTCAAGAGCACGTCCCTCGGTTGCAGGCTCCTCCCGGGCCCTGGTTGGGGCCGTGCAGGAGGCAACCAGTCGATGTGTTTCTCTCACATCAGTGTTTCTCTCTGTCTTTCTCTCTTTCTTCCACTCTCCCTAAAAATCAATGGAAAAATATCCCCGGGTGAGGATTAGAAAAAGAAGAAAGGCAGCTCGGGTTTTCCGGGCCGTGGGTAGGAGCCCTCGGGGACCTGAGGGGAGTTGACCTGTGGTTCCCACATGGAAAGAAATGGCTCCCCTGTCGCTCACCTTCCTGCTTCAACAGCTACAGGTCAGTTCACCCGGAGGCCAGGGCGCACCTCAGCGAGGCGCTGACGGAAGACACGGGCGTGGGCACCAGCGTGGCCGGCAGCCCCCTCCCGCTGACCACGGGGAGCGAGAGCCTGGACATCGCCATCGTCAGGCACCTCCAGCAGTGCACCCAGCTCGTGCAGGTACGGCCGGACGGCGCGGTTAGGCCCCGGCGGTTCGTGGACCAGAGAGCGAGCGCTGCTGCTGCTTTTTTTAAAATATATATATTTTTATTGATTTCAGAGAGGAAGGGAGAGGGAGAGAGAGAGAGAGAAACATCAATGATGAGAGACAGTCCCCACACTGGGAATGGAGCCCACAACCCGGGCCTGTGCCCTGACAGGGAATCAAACCCTGACCTCCCGGTTCATAGGCGGATGCTCAGCCACGGAGCCACGCCGGCCGGGTGAGATAGCTTGGTTATAATTGTGACTATTAGACACCATGCTGCTAATTTCAGCTTGAAAACAAGGAAATAGATCCAGGCTGAGAAAAACCACCAGGCTTATAAAATGCATCTTTTGGGGCGTACACACCACGTGCAGCCTGAATGCGCCCTCCCCGTGGAGAGGGCTCACTGATTTCCAGTGGCCTCGCCGCTGCCCCTGAGAGAGTTCCAGAATGTGTGTGGGCGGGGGGCAGCGAGAAGCCACGGGCGCCTGTCTGGTTTCAGCACTGAACCCAGGAGCATCAGCGCCCGGGACAGGGCGCCACGGAGTCGGCCACGTCCCCAGCGGGCGCAGGACGCGCGGTCGGGAAGGGCGCTGGGCCCCACCCTGAGACAACGCTCTTGTTTCCTCCTCAGCAAATCGTCTTCTCCAGCAAAACCCCCTTCGTGGCGAGAAATCTCCTGGGGAAGCTTTCCGGGCAAATCCGCGTGATGGAGAAGCTCGCCGCCCTCAGTGACGAGCACATAGGGAACATCGGTTCCGTCCTGGAAGGTGCGGCCCTGCCTGGGAGTCCACGCTGACCCCCCTCTGCCCCTCCCCCCTCTTCACCCCTCCTCTGCTCCCCCCTCTTCACCCCTCCTCCCCTCCCTGCTCTTCACCCCTCCTCCCCTCCCCCCTCTTCACCTCTCCTCCGCTGTGGCTGGACAGGCAGCAGCAGAGCACTCAGAGCAGGGGCTGCCCCACAGCTGTGGGGTCTCACTAGCGCCCCCTTCAGCTTCGGAGTCAGAGTGCACCCTGCTTCTGCACCCGGCTTCTGCTGGGGCCTCCTTCATAGGCAGGCACTAGGGTGCAGGCACGGGTGTGCAGACAGACACAGGTGTGCAGACATGGGTGTGCACACACAGGTGTACAGACAGACCCAGGTGTGCAGACAGACACAGGTGTGCAGACAGACCCAGGTGTGCAGACAGACCCAGGTGTGCAGACAGGCACAGGTGTGCAGACACGGGTGTACAGACAGACACAGGTGTGCAGACATACACAGGTGTGCAGACAGACGCAGGTGTGCAGACAGACGCAGGTGTGCAGACATGGGTGTACAGACAGACCCAGGTGTGCAGACATACACAGGTGTGCAGACAGACGCAGGTGTGCAGACAGACGCAGGTGTGCAGACAGACGCAGGTGTGCAGACCCAGGTGTGCAGACAGCACCGTGTCACCCCTGGCGTGGTTCCCCGTGGGAATGTGAGATGCGGATTGTCCTCACACTGAATTGGCTGAGACAGCCCCACTGTGGCCCAGGGTCAAATGCAAGGTGCCCCCAAACCTACAGGGAGCCAAACCTTAGGGAGAACCTAAGGCCTTCGTGAGGGTCCCTGGGTCAGAGTTTTAGGTGGGGAACTTGACCCGGGAAAGATGCCTTAGAACGTGTGTGGTCTCTCTCTCTCTCTCTCTCTCTCTCTCTCTCTCTCACACACACACACACACACACACACACACACGGAATGTATTTTTTCCATTGATTTTTAGAGAGAGTGGGAGGGAGGGGGGAGGGCGGGAAGAGGAGGGAGGTGAGAGGACTGGGTTTCTATCCCCGAAAGCAAAGGGCTCTGCTTCCTGCCGGCTGCAGGGGCCCCTCAGCAGGACGGCTGTGTCGTGTGGCCATCAGCCGACGAGCGTCTTTAGGAAATAGTAATAACAGGCCGGTGGGGGCCCAGCCGGCGTGGCTCCGTGGTGAGCGTGGACCTAGGAACCAGGAGGTCAGGGTTCGATTCCAATCAGGGCACAGGCCTGGGTTGTGGGCTCATCCCCAGTAGACGGTGTGCAGAGGCAGCCGATCCATGGTTCTCTCTCATCACTGATGTTCCCATCTCTCTCTCCCTCTCCCTTCCTCTCTGAAATCAATAAAAATATATTTTAAAAAATAATTTTTTAAAAAGTGGGTGGTGGCCAAGCCTACCCCCCCCTCCCCCGCCCGGTCCCGCGCCCGGCCTCACAGCGTCCTTCCTTCCTTCCAGCCATCCCCGAGTTCCACCAGCAGCCGTCCCTGCTGTCCTTCTGGACCGAGTGCTGCGGCCCGGCGGGCGTGTACCACAGCTCGGCCGACCGGGTGGTCCAGCAGCTGGAGGCCAGCTTCGCTGGCGCCGTCAACGCAGACTACCCGGGCCTGGCAGACCCAGGTGGGCACCGTGGGGGGCGGTCTGTCCCAGGGTCCCCACTCCTCCGCCCGCCGCCACCCTGGACGCCAGGCCTCCCTCAGTGAGACCTAAGAAACCAGACGGAGCACGCACTGACTCAGAACAGCGCAGGGACCTAGGGAAGCCCTGCCTTCCCATGTCGCTGGGTGGGCATCTCCCAACCCCGATGTCGGCGGGTGTGGCGACCCCTTGGGAAAACGGGCGGTTCTACCCACACTCAGTAAACCCCTCCCCCGGGAGCCAGCACCCCGCTCAGGAAGAGATCAAGAGAAATACACGCTCACGAAGGAGGGACGTGCACACGGAGTTGGCAGCAGCTCAAATGCCCCTGAATCAGAGCCCAGATGCTGTCATCTGTCCGCACCCTCGGGGGCTGGGAGGCGATTTTAAGAAGAATGAGTTTTGGGTACAGGCTCCGTTTTGCATGAATCTCGGCTCTTTTGATGAGTGAAAGGAGTCAGCTCCTAACGTGCTCACCGCGTCATCCATTGCAGTGAAGTTGGGGCGCAGGCTGAGCTGACTTGTAGGCAGGGAAGGGGCTCACGGTGACCTCGTGGGGCACAGCTGTGACCTGTACTGTGATCTAAACGGCCCTTGGGCAGGTGTGTAGACGGCACCGGTCGCCTGCTGTGCCTGGGGTTAGTCCACTGGCGGACTTCGCTCTGTCCTGCTCCACAGTGAGAAAACGAGTGAGTGAATGAATGAATGAATGAACGAGTCTCCTAACGGCTGCCTTGTGTCTTCTCTTCCCCAACAGTGTTTCGGACGCTGGTGGCCCAGATCCTGGACCGGCCAGAGCCACTGCTGCCCCCCAGCCTGGCCTCCGAGGTGGTCACCGTCTTCCAGTTTCACGGCTACTTCTCCGGCCCCGGGGTTGGCGGCCTGGAGGGCCACGTGCGCCAGCTGGCGGGACAAGGTGGGCTGCTCCAGGTCATGGGTGGTGGAGGGACACGGAGTGGCCTTCTTTTTTATATGTTATTGCTTTCAGAGCGGGAGGGAGAGGGAGAGAGACAGAAACTGCAATGATGAGAGAGTCATGGATCGGCTGCCACACTGGGGATGGAGCCCGCAACCCGGGCCTGTGCCCTGACCGGGAATCCAACCCTGACCTCCTGGTTCACAAGTCAACGCTCAACCCCTGAGCCCGCCGGCCAGACTACTGTGTATTTTTTCATTTGCCGGTTTAGTTCATCCGACAGTTAATTCCGTGGCCATTATGGGCTGGAGACCACGCCCGCTCTCCTCCCAAGCGCCTCATTGGCCTTGACAGTCACAGCACTGATGGGCCCTGTCCTCGGAGCGGAAGCCCCTCTGTCACGCACTGGTCTGCCCGGGGTTGCGCCTGCTCGCTGAGCGCCTTCCTCTGCGTTTCCTCCCCAGTCTCCATGGTGCGGAGCCTGCAGTCGCTGCGGGACGAGAAGCTGCGCCAGGCGGTCAGCGGCCTGGCCCCCAGCAGCCTCCCGGCCCAGCAGGAGGTGCTCCGAACCCTGGCTCTGCTCTTAACCGGGGCCGACCGCGGCGTCAGCCAGGCCGTGAGGCTGTACCTGGAGGCGGCCGCCGGGAACCAGCCTTTCAGGGAGAAGGTAGGCTGCGGAGCCCTGGCCGAGCCCCACGCTGCTTCCTTCTGTCACCTGCTGTTTCCTTCTATAGGAAGAATGTGTATCGTCTTTAAAAGTATTCGTTACTGATTTCAGAGAGGAAGGGAGAGGGAGAGCGAGAGAAACATCAATGATGAGAGAGAATCATGGATACATTCTCCTATACACCCCACAACCCAGGCCTGTGCCCTGACCAGGAATCGAACCGTGACCTCCTGGTTCATAGGTCGGTGCTCAACCACTGAGCCACGGGTCAGGCAAGAATTTGTATCTTGGATTGGTTGGAGCATCATCCTGTACACCCAAAGGTTTTGGGTTTGACTCCGAGTTGGGGTGTGTATAGGAGGCAACCAATCGATGCTTCTCTCTCTCTCTCTCTCTCCCCCTTCCTCCCTCTCCCTCCGTCCCCCGCCTCTCTCCCTCTCCCTCCCTTCCTCTCTCAAAGCATAAGCATCCCCTCTGGTGAGCGCCCTGTAGGTTTCCTGTGAAATAGCACGGTTCCTTCTAACTAGCCCGAGCGCCTCTGCGGGGCCCCACGTCCCCCGAAAGCTGGGCTCATGGCCGTGCGTCTTCCAGCTTCATCCTCCCAGAGCCGCTGGCCTGGCCCGGCATACGGGATCCACATAGTGGATAGGAAATGTAGAACGACAGCTCCTTTAGCAACATGACTTTTCATGGGCTCCTGGCTCAGAAGGCAATGCAGAGCGAATGGTTTAGCTGTGGTCCGTGTCAGGCAGTAACGGAGAGGACCCTAAAACCAGGTGTTCATTGCCCTCCTCCCGCCAGGCCCTGCTCTACTACTGTGAGGCCCTGACTGCCCGCGACCTGCAGCTGCAGAAGGCGGCGTGCCTGGCTCTGCAGAGCCTGCAGGTGAGGCCCGCGGGACTGAGCCCTGAGCAGGGACAGCTTCCTGCGTGTGTGTGTGTGTGTGTGTGTCTGTCTGTCTGTCTGTGGTGCAGGACTGAGCCGTGTGAGTGTGTCTGTCTGTCTGTCTGTCTGTGGTGCAGGACTGAGCTGTGTGTGCGTGTACATGTGTGTGCATGTGCATGTGCATTGCGCGCGCGTGTGCAGGCCCGTTAGCGGCATTGCTGGTCTCCTCTGCCCTGTTTGTTGCTTGGAGTCCTTTTTTCTCTTCTTGCAACATAACAAAATGTGACGTTTCAGACCCTCCTGCTCAGTCCTGGAAAAGTGTCTCTGATCCCCGAAGAGAGAGGCTGTGATGACGCACTAATGCGCGTTGTGTCCAAAACACCAGCAGGGCCCCGTGCGCTGTGCGCAGCACTGCACCTCAGGGAGCCCGTGGGTCCAGCCGCCCCGTGACGGCTTCCCCGGGGCAGCTCGGCCTTCACCGGTTGGCGGGGGGGGGGGGGGGGGGGGGCGGGGGGCGGCCTCCTGGGAGCCACACGGGATGAAAAGCACTGACTCCCCAGCGCCAACGGGCTCACCTTCCAGTCGCCAAGATGTAGTCACAAACAGTGAGACTGGTCAGTCTGAGGGGAGGACGAGAGGGCAGCCCAGCCGCCCTCCACTGCGGTCCCCGTGCTCGTAAGACAATTCAAATGTCTATGAATAATATAAACAATAAACCACAATAAAATACAACGAGCCCTCAGGGCTCCTGCCGCTGGAGACCTGGCTCCATCCGGGCGTTCACCCCGCCCGTGGGGTGGTGCCCAGGAGCCGGGACCTGCTCCCCACATGCAGCTGGGCGGCCCGGGTAGGACAGCCCGGCCCCGGACAGATGTCAGCTCACGCTGTGCGCGGCCCTCCCCGCAGGCCACAGAGAGCATCAAGATGCTGGTGACCCTGTGCCAGTCGGACGCGGAGGAGCTCAGAAACGTGGCCTCCGAAACCCTCCTGTCCCTGGGTGAGTGTGTGCACGGGGCTGCGTGCTTTTGGGTCTTCACAGAGCTGTCGGGGGAGGTTCCCTGTGCGCCGTGTAGCGAGTCCCCCCATGGCTGCCTGCTCACACACACGCTCACACACGCTCACACACGCTCACAATATTCACACACACACACACGCACACTCTCACAATACACACACATATACTCACACACACAATGCACGTGCACACACACGTACACACATGTACACACACACATACATGTACACACACACACACACACTCATACACACCCAGCATGAGGGCTCCTCAGTCTCCATGTCTCTCCGGCTCCTGTCCTGACCCCCTGGATGTGGAGGGTGAGGGCTGGGAGCCTTCGGGATGGCTCCTCAGTCTGGGCAGGATTTCGGATTAAGAACCTGGAAGTCACACCGTAGTGGCAGGAGCTGGGGTCTGGGCTCCTGCCTCCTGCAGGCCCCTCACTGGGGACTGAGCCCACAACCCAGGCATGTGCCCTGACCGGGAATTGAACCCTGACCTCCTAGTTCAGAGCTCGCCAGCCGGGCCTTCACAATAAAGCCCAGGTCAAGCACAGCTGACTCTGTCCTTCTTAGTCTCTGTGTTAAATGGACGGAAGCTTCTCACCTTCACTTTCCCACTTGCTGGTAAAATTTTTAAATGAAAAATGGAACAAAATAGTCAAGTAATTGACACACGTTGGCCATTCGGGGCGCGCCTGCTAACAGCCTGAGCCCGTGGTGGGCGGTGGGCGCGTCACCACGTTGACACGGTCACTTGGCTGGCGTTTGGAAGCCTGAGTGTGACTCTATGAAGGACCGTGTAGGCGCCAGCACAGACGTGTAGAGGTAAAAGCCATGTGGACGTGGCAGGCTCCAGGGGCCGTGACGCCGCGTGGAGGCCGCGCCCGCCTGCAGCAGATTCCCCGGGCGTTGCGGGAATAAACCTGCTTAGTGACCTCACGGACGGCACGTGCCCCAGACCTCTCTGCCTCCCACCTGCCCGCTTCCCGGCTCTGGCCTCCCCTCCAAAGAGAGAAACAGTACCATTCACAAGAGAGGTGACTTTTCCTTACCTGACGTGGTGACAGCGGGAGCGTTGAGCTGACGCTGGTACCGTTTCTCGCGTTCCCATCCAGGGGAAGACGGGCGGCTGGCCTACGAGCAGCTGGACAAGTTCCCCCGGGACTGCGCCCACGTCGGAGGCCGTCACGGGACCGAGGTGGCCACGGCCTTTTAATGACCCAACAGCTGTCGTCACAGATGGCCCCGGGGTCCCGGAGGCGCCGCGATGTCGCCGGGAACCTCCCGCGGTGTAGACAGAACTCGATCGGGTCCCGGCGCCCGGCGCCCAGCGCGAGCTGTGCCCGCTACGAGAGGGCTGTGTGCAGTGTACGAGGTCAGTCCCAGCGCCGACCACGGGCAGCGCCGAGTCAACAGAGCCCGCCGTCTGACACGTGCGGGATTTCCAAACAGCCATCTTCGTACTTTCCCAGAAGTTCTATGAGCTCGGGGCCGTCCTGTGAGACGCGGGTAAATGTCGTGCAGCTTGCAGTCCCCTCCGTCCGTCCTATTCTCGGGGTTGAGGGTCCCCACCCCCCACCCCCACCAGCCACCTAACTTTACCTTCAGTGAAAAGCACAAAAAGAACTGCTCCCAATAAAAGTTTGCCTGGGAGTTTGCACTGTAAGAGCGCAATGTTGTTACACGTCACGTGTCACTGCGCCGCCTGTTCCTCTTCCTCCTGAGAATTCCCGAAGCGTGCTTCCACGGTGGCAAGAAGATGGGGAGGTGACCAGGAGCAGACGGCCTTAGGAGATCACCCCCCTACTCCTTAAACACAAAGGCACGCATTGCGTCCGCTTTTATTTGTGAACAAACAAGAGCCATTTTTTTTATGATCTTTTTCTATAGAGGTACTTGGCCGCTAAGACCAATCCAAACCCAAAGCCATGGCTTCAGAAAAGCTGGGCGCTCCCTGAGGCACGAGCGCGCACAGGTTGGAGGGACATTGAAAAGGGGTCCTTGCTTCCGTGACAACCCCAGGAGGTCAGGATGAAGGCTGCCCCCTGGGGTGGTGACTGCCCCCTGCTGGGACCCCTTGGCCAAATAGAACAGCAGCCGCCCTCACCGCTCCCACCAGGGCAGCAAACCCAGTCGCTAAAGTCCACGCCCGCTCAGGAGCTCCTGGTACATAACGGGGCTCCCTCCTAGGCGTATACGGGGCGGGATATGCCAAGTTATCTAATAGGTGTGAGTGTCGCTTGAACTGTACTCCAGATGTGTTTGTATAAAATGCCAGTGAGGTGTCATTTTAAATATCTACACGTCAGCAGACCTTTACAGCAGCTCTTAGTTCAACTTAAACGGTGTCTGCCGGGTTTCCCGGCAAAGAGTCCTTGGGACTGTGAAGTTACAGTGTGTATATATATATCTATTTGTATATTTATAAATATTATATATATGCCTATGTCCTTCCTTTGAAAAGTTCCTTGTACAGTCTATAGTTAGGATAGCCTGCGTAAGCTGCAGTCCCTGTGAAATGGTGGAGAGGATTTTTTTTTTTATAGAAAACTCAAATCCCAAATGTTACCAAGTGTTTTGTTGGTTGTGGTGTGTGTTTTTTAAAAGAATTTTGAATATTGCATGAGCAACGGACTCCAGGTCTTTTGTATTCACATCTGCATTTTGTTCTGGTTGAGGGGGTGCGTTGTTTTGTGGCATTTGTATCCGTCACTGTTCCCATCCTGGACGTTCAAATAAAAGTTATTTTTGAATCTCTGGTCTCAGGCCCAGAGTCCACTGTATTTTTTCACATGCCCTCGCGAGTCGGTACATACCCACGACACCTCGTTCCCCACTGGAATTTGTTCTGATCTTGACATTCCTTCATCCATAATTAGGGATAGTAATATTTGCTTCTTGGATATTTTAAATATATGTTTATTGATTTCAGAGAGGAAGGGAATGGGAGTGAGAGATAGAAACATCAATGATGAGAGAGAATCATGGATCGGCTGCCTCCTGCACGCCCCCCACTGGGGATCGAGCCTGCAACCCGGGCATGTGCCCCGGCCGGGAATCCAACTGTGAACTCGTGGTTCACAGGCCAACATGCAGCCACAGAGCCACGCCGGCCAGCACTCCTTGGGCATTTTATGAAGCTACTTGGAGAAAAAAGACTCTGAGCTCCTGGAGGGTAAGAAGCATCATCCTTCATCTGCGTTCTCAGCCCAAACCCCAGGCAGCACCCTCTGCTCCCCAGCCCGTGTCGTCCAGGAGACTGTTGCTAGGTGATGCGTTCCAGAGTTCTGAACTATTGTGGCCGCTGGCGCGCAGTGGACCGGGAGCCCCCGGCCTGTCCACACAATGGCCACGGCCTATGTTCCTTCTGTGCAGTACGAGTGTCCGGTTTATCAGTATGTTGTGCGGCTGGGCCAGTGCCTCCGGAGGTTCTGGAATGTCTATATTATGGGCTTCTTCATTGAGGAGGAGGAAGAACATATCCCCCCAAGCCAGATTTTTTTTCATAAAGGAAAAATCGTGGCACTTGGCCAGACGTTGAGGAACAAATCCCTGGCCATCGAGGAGCGGGCCCAGGCCGCCTACAGGATCGGACTGCTGGCCTTCACAGGTACGACCCTCCAGGGCTGCGTCCGTTTCACACCCCGTTTGCTGGTTATAACACTAAGGGTCTTCACGGGGCTCGTCCTAAAACTCCAGCAACACTTCCTTTGCCTAAATTATCAGTTTTCTGTCTTTGTACCACCAAAGACATTACTGATTCTTTTCTCCTTAAGGATCTGGTTTTTTGGTTAATTTATTTGGTACAAAGGATTCTTTTTTTAAAATGTATTTTTATTGATTTCAGAGGGGAAGGGAGAGAGAGAGAGAGAGAGAGAGAGAGAGACATCAATGATGAGAGAGAATCATGGATCGGCTGCCTCCTGCACACCCCACTCTGGGGATCAAGCCTGCAACCCAGGCATGTGCCCCGACTGGGAATGGAACTGTGACCTTCTGGTTCATAGGTCACTGCTCAACCACTGAGCCACGCCGGCTGGGCTCAGCTAAAACTTTAACATTGACGAGAACATTCTTGGGATGTAAGAGAAATGTACGTCAGGTGGGAAGTCCAGGCTGGAATCCGGCCAGCGATGAGGCTGCTCCTCGCGCCTCACCTCTAACAAGCTCCCTGGGCGCCTCCCGGCTCCTCCCTTCTTGGCGTTTGAGATTGGAATGAGGAAGAGCTGGGGGTCAGGAGGAGGACCAGGTGGTGCAGGACCAGGTGGGGTCAGGGGGCAGAGCCAGGACAAGCTTGGATGGCCTCGCTGGTCCCAGGCCTGCAAGAGCTGGGCTGGAAGGGGGTTGGAATGGGAGGGAAGGGCAGAGCGGCGGGCGGCTAGCTTGTGAGAAACCTCTCCGACCACCAGCCCCAGCTTTGCAGCTCAGCCTTCTGGGGTTCTCATTGCTGCTCTACTGCGCTCCTGTTTTTTCTTTTTTAACCCTCACCGGAGGACATTTTTCCATTGGTTTTTAGAGAGAGTGGAAGGGAGAGAGGAGACACAGAGAGAAACATCGATGGGTTGCCTTTGCACATGCTCCAACCAGGGCTAGGGATCGAGCCTGCAACCTAGGTACATGCCCTTGACTGGAATCGAACCCGGGACCCTTCAGCCCCCAGGCCTGAGGACGGGGACCTCGGCAGGCAGGGACCTCCCAGGGCCCAAGTTCCCGAGCACACACGTTCGGTACATGCCCTTGACTGGACTCGAACCCAGGACCCTTCAGCCCCTAGGCCTGAGGACGGGGACCTCGGCAGGCAGGGACCTCCCAGGGCCCAAGTTCCCGAGCACACACGTTCCCAGGCCCGAGCGTCCGTATGTGGCAACAAGAATAGGCCCAGCTGAGCCGCCCCGCCCGCCCCTGGCCACCAGGCCTGCCGGGTGCTCCTGGAAACCCAGGTGCTTGTCTTCCAGGAGGACCCACGGCCGCGAAGTTTGCGGCCGAGCACATGAAAGAAGTGGCGCACTTGCTGCAGAGCGGCCAGGCAGCCCCCGAGGCGAGGATCCTGCTGCTCCAGAGCGTGGCCTGCTGGTGCTACTTGAACCCCATCACCCAGAGGAGGGCCAAGTTCCTGCAGCTCGTCCCCATTCTCATGGCGATTTTTGGGAACGCCCCCGAGTCCAGCCAGACGGACGTCAACAACACCCTCCAGGTGAAGTTCTGGGCGTGCTACACCCTGTCCGTCATGACCTGCAACAACCTGTCCTACATGGAGGAGCTGAGGGAGCACTCCAAGTTCAAGTACCAACTGCAGGCGCTGGCGCAGAAGGACTGGGCGGGCTGGCCCGAGAACTTCGCTGAGGTGCTCTACTTCCTCATCGGTTTCCACAGGCACTGACGCCTCTCCCTCCGGGCCCGGCCGTCGGCACCGCCAGAGGGCTCTGGAACACAGATCCCTCCGGGCCCGGCTGTTGGCACCGCAGGAGGGCCCTGGAACACAGAAATAAATGATCAAAGCCCATACGTCCCTCCCTGGCTCAGTGGATAGAGCGCCAGCCTGTAGACTGAAGGGTCCTGGGGTTCGATTCTCGGTCAGGGCACATGCCCGGGTTGTAGGGTCGTGGGCTCGATCCCCAGTACAGGGCGTACAGGAGGCAGACGATCCATGAATCTCTCATCATTGATGTCTTTCTCTCTGAAATCAGTAAGAATATATTTTAAAATGACCTCCTGCAGATGAAGGTAATAAAATGGGAATTTTGGGAAGATGCCAGGGGCATTGGTGAGATTCATGGGGTGTTAGATACTAAGCCAAGGCACCCAGAAAAGCCAAACCCACCACGGTGCTGGACACGGGTGCCCCTCCCCTTCTGTCTCCGCCAGCCCCGTGTCCTGGCTGAGGTGGTTCTTTGGCTGCCAGAACATGAGCTTCTGGCACATCAGATGGCCCTGCTTGCGACATTTGGTAGCTAACTGAAAACTAGATTCATCATCTGAAGGAAAGTCTTCCAAATTCTCTGGATCGACTCAGTTTCCAGGCGACAAAGACCTTGCCTAAGTGACCCTTTGATGCACGACATGGCTCCGTTGCCCCTTACAGACGCCGTGCGCCTCAGAGAACACGCTGTCCCAAGGCCGTGTACTCGGCACACCGTGCTCCCATGTCCTTGTCTTCCTGAAGAACGGACTTATGGGAAACTCCTCATTCATTTCACCTGGCTCTGACTTCTTATGCCTTCATATTGTATGTTTTTTAAAAAATACCTATGTTTTTATTGATTTTTTAGAGAGAGGAAGGGAGATAGAGATGGAAACATTCATGGGAAACATTGATCAGCTGCCTCCTGCACGCCCCACACTGGGGATTGAGCCTGCAACCCGGGCATGTGCCCTGACCCAGAATCTAACCGTGACCTCCTGGTTCATAGGTTGACGCTCAATCCGAGCCACACTGACCAAGCCTATACGGATGCTCTGTGCTGTATCTAATGTAACGCGAATAGTTTCAGAACCCTCAGCTATTCCTGCATCTCGTCACTGGGCGTGCACCTGGTCACCATCCCCATCGGCGGGACAGACGCATAAGCTCCTGACACCACTCCTCACGGCCTTTACCAAAACCCTCAGGAGGAGCGGGGGTCGGGGAGCCTGGAAATCAACAGTCCGACCCTGAGCCGGGGGCAACCAGCTGGGGAGTCAAACCTCCACCATTTCCTCTTTAGGGGGACAAATTCATTTTCTCCTCGTTTCCTCCCAGACAACAGAGGGGTAGGGAGAAAATGATATAAAACCAGAGAAATGGACAAATTTTACTCTTGGACTTCGTTTTTCCAAGAAACACATATGCTCACTAGGAAACGAAGTTTATTTATCATGTACACAAGTTGTGTCTGACATCTGAGAAAACGTTATTTACATAAAACACCATAGATTAAAACACACCGTATTTGTATTTTAACACGATAGGGTCCCAGGGCTCAAACAGAACGTCTGCTTCACAGCTATTTGCTCTGCCACCAAGAACCGTCGTGGCGGTACCTGGGGCATGTCTTTTCTGAGTCTCTGCGCAGCTCACGCGCCGGGCCGGGCGTCCGTGGAGGAAGACACGGCTGCCCTCGCCGGGAACTCCGCCTCAGGATCCTCGCCCGCCTCCTCCTCAGAATCAGATCCCTCGCTGTCCGGCGATTCGAAGCTCTCCAGAGCGTCTCCTTTCAGCCGCTTTTAAAGAATGAGCCAAGTGTTTATTATAAAAACTTTAAAACCCAAGCCCATGATCTGACTGCGGTACGTGACCCTCGGTGTTGTAACGAGGTCACACTCACAACCCAGGCCTGTCCGTCTCCCCGCGCTGGATCACACCGCAGCCAAGTCACGTGGCTGGCGGACCTGCTCCCTTCTAAGGCACTGGCTCTTCAATGAGCGAGCCCTCCTCTAAGGCAGGGAGGCCGGCCCCGCGCTCCCAGCCCGCCGGGGACCACACTCCGCAGCCAAGGCGGCCATGACAGCATCGCCAGGTGAGAACCTCAAATGTTAACGTCTGTCCCGGCCCGAACGTGCAAGCAATTCAGTACAAAAAGTGTTTCATTTGGAAATCTCCCATCCCATCAGCAAGATGCCTTTTTGTAAACAACATTAAGTTTTAAAACTTAGGTTTTAGGCTAAGCCTGGTAACGGAACAGTCACGAGGTCAATCCTTACAAACAGGCTACTTCCCAATTTTAAACAAAGTCCGAGGGGCCCTACCCTTCCCGGTGCACCGAGGAGCAGCTATGAACACAGGAAGGTCACGCTGGCACGAACGTTAAATGTAAACTGGCTAAGACGCATCGGCTGTGAAAGAGAAGACTTTTCCCTACTTTCTCAGCGGAGACACCTCTCAGCGTCCATCTACTGTCACTCGTTCTCATGACAACCTAGAGCAGGGCCGGCGACCCCGCTTTATGGCTGAGGACAGCGAAGACCCCACAGCACCAATTCGCTGCTTACTCACCACCTTCACGTCCCAGGTGGGGAGCTAGGACCCCGGAGTCCGAGTCCAGAGCCCACAGGGTCCTCGCGCTCGGCTTGGCGGACACTCACCTCCAGGACCTCGGCCATGTACTGCACGTGCTCCGCCACCGCCGCCAGCTCCCGGTTCTCCCTCTGCAGGCGGGCGATCTCACTGGTCTTCTGCTCGATGTCTCTGTGGAGCTGTGGTGGGGGCAGCTCAGCGTTCGCCTCCCGCCGCACCCCCCGCCGGCCTCCCCGGTGCGCTGACACATCGGCACGGTCCCGGCGGGGGCCATCGTGGCGCCCACCGTTTAGGCTTCTTTGGGTCAAATAATTCTAACAGCCGCCTCATTCAACGTTTCTTAGGCCCAAATGAAAGCCCGTTCACACTGCTCCAGCCAAGTTCGCTAAGCAGTGAGGGGAATATTAAAATGCAGACGGCACCAGTTCTCCTCAGCGCTCACCTTCTCGTTTTCCTTCAGCGCTTCATAGAGAGCCTTCCGCCGCTGCTCCGCCACTTCCTTCCAGTACTGGGAGGACGGGTTTTCTAAAAAACCAATGTTTTACATGAAACTCTGAAAGCCACTCCTGTTCCAGCTGCGGTGACATCCCCAGCATCCTCCTTTCTATTTAAAAAGCAATTTGCAAGCTTACTCAGCACCGCCCACATCACCTGGCACTACCCCTTTCCTAAACCTGAAGTTAGAAACCAAGTCAGCTTTGTTCCATTTTATTTCCCCGACATTTTAGGGATTCTGACACATCCCACTGAGGATCTGTAGAGAGCTGTGTGCTCAGGTGACGTCGACTGACATTTGTCATCTATGTGGTGACATCAGCAATATGGCACAGTCGTTTCTGTATGTGACTGTAGTGTTTTTGTCACCAAATCTTAGCCAAGTCAGTATGAGTGTCACAAGCCCTACGGTTCACCCCACAGCAGTACTGGAGAGAGAGCTGCTGTACTTCTCTGCAGCCACCGTTTCCTGACTTGTCTGATAAAACCCTACAGCCTACTATCCCTTTCCTTGCTGTCCTCCTGGCAACTCAGAATGAGCCCAACGGACTCCATGACCTTGAGTAAGTCAATTAACTTCTCTAAGTCTCCAATTTTTCATCAATAACAACATCAATGACCTCCATGATGCTTAAAAACCATTGCCAGCTTCCTCTTACGGTGCCGCCTGCCATTCCATTAAACACTTGCATTTAGCCCTGTCCGGTCTGGCTCAGTGGATAGAGCATCGACCTGCGGACTCAAGGGTCCCAGGTTCGATTCCGGTCAAGGGCATGTACCTTGGTTGTGGGCACATCTCCAATGAGGGGTGTGCAGGAGGCAGCTGATCGATGTTTCTCTCTCATCGATATTTCTAACTCTCTATCCCTCTCCCTACCTCTCTGTAAAAAAATCAATAAAATATATTAAAACACACACACACACACACACACACACACACAAAACTTGCATTTATTCCCGGCCCAGCGGCTCCCGTCCTCACTCCCTTGACTTCCGCCAGGCTCCTGCGGGCTCCCTCCCTACTTCATGTTCTCCCGGCACATTCACATTCCTTTCTTCAAACTCAGTCTCTAGACCAGGGGTGGGCAAACTTTTTGACTCGAGGGCCACAATGGGTTCTTAAACTGGACCGGAGGGCCGGAACAAAAGCATGGATGGAGTGTTTGTGTGAACTAATATAAATTCAAAGTAAACATCATTACGTAAAAGGGTACGGTCTTTTTTTTTTTTTATTCATTTCAAACGGGCCGGATCCGGCCCGCGGGCCGTAGTTTGCCCACGGCTGCTCTAGACACTTTTTCTCCCCGAAAAGACTACTTCTGTCTTGGCAACCCCATATCCAGTTGTCATGTTAATCACTATCCTTCCCTTTAATATTTCATCCATAACTGGATCTTACAAAACAGTAAGACTTGTCCACGTTTGGTGTTGGTATTTTTACAACCAAAGGAACGTGAGGGTATGGGAGCATCACAGTGAACTAGCAGTGTGCCCAGCCCTGGGGCCGTGGCAGAGTCCCCAACAGCAGGAGGTAACGGTGACCTGTACTCCAAGGACAGTGTCTGCGATAAGGGCTCTCACACTTGCCTCCTACCTGCAGCCATGAGGTCCAGTGCCTCCTGGGTAACTCCTCCCAGCTCCTTGCTCTCCCCGTGCTCCGGGACAGCAGGGACTCCAGAGCCGGAAGTCTTAGACGCCGACTGGTCACTGCGATGCTTCGGTTTGAACGAGCCTTTAACCAGCTGCCGTGGAAATCCACACGTCAATCTCATTTGTTTTTCTCTAATAAGCAAGAAAGCTGGGTGCCCCTGGGAACCAGCGCAAGCCCGGCTTCTGAAGGTGTGTGTTTAGAAGGAAGAATCACCAGGGTAAGCCATGCACTGCTAGAGTCCAGAGCAGCGGTTCTCAACCTGTGGGTCGCGACCCCTTTGGCGGTCGAATGACCCTTTCACAGGGGTCGCCTAAGACCATCCTGCATATCAGATATTTACATTACGATTCATAACAGTAGCAACATGACAGTTATGAAGTAGCAATGAATATAATTTTATGGTTGGGTCACAACATGAGGAACTGTATTGAAAGGGCCAGAAGGTTGAGAACCACTGGTGCAGAGAAAGAGGGAAAAGCAGGGAAGAGGAAGAGCCACTGGCGAAAGAAGAAATTACGGATCAAAAGAAAGAAACAAGTCAAAGATAATATAGAACCAAAATATAAATATGTAGACATTTTTGAAGAATATGAAATTTGTTAAGAAATTTTTTGAAAGCTCAGTGGTCTTATTATTTATGTGTTAAAAATGGAGCCGCATCTGTTTGTGTCTTTCTGACATCTTTGGATCTTCTTTAAAAAATCATACAGTTTAAAACTCCCCCAAAATGTAAAGGTCTGTTTTGGGAATTTTATTTGCAGCAACTGTTTGGAATTAGAGCTGGATCTAAGGCTAAACTGAAATTATTTTTATTGTTTAAATAATTCAGTTCCATACAAAGGCAGTATTTTTTACCTGTAAAACTCTAGACACTTTCAACAATGATTTCATCATTTACATACAGAAGTAAATGAAGGATCCACCATTTTATTCTCAAAATAGGCAGCATCCCCCTGTAGCTGACGTGTTCTATCATCTCAGTTCTACCAGTATTATACCAGCATCCTATTCATACCAACGTCAAACTTCCTCAATTGATCAGTTAAAACAAAAGCCACTTCTGTGGGGAATACACAATTGTTATTCTTAAACTCCTGCCCAATTTCAATGACTTGGGTATTTCTAACCAAGGAAACCTTGCAAATGGTTTTCATGCACAGGTTCTGGCCCCGTAACACATACCTCGTTCTCTCTGCCGACGAGGGGCCCGGCTGTGGACGGCTGGATCATCTTCAGGGTCCTCCTCGGGACAGGACTGCTCTAGAGTCAAGAGAATCCGTTATGGGTCCTGAGGGCGGCAGGGCCTGTGACTGCCTTAGCCTCCTACACTCACCAAAAAGGAACACAGACGGGACGGGCAGAAACAGGGTCACAGCTGTGAGTCCGCGAACCTGAGTTTGTTCTTGTGTTATCATTACTGAGTACTGAACTATTTTCTATATGAACAGCGGTAAACCTACGTTGGCCCCACCCTGAATTTGGTCCGCTAGGTAATTTTGCAATGCTAGGTACGAACAAGACATCGGCTTAACCAACTAGTAAACTTATTTCCCTAAAATTATAATAAAGTTTGAAGAAAGTCTAAGAATGCATCATATCACCCAAACTTAACACATTTATGGTAGAAACCCAGAAAACAGGTAAATTGGGGGAAAAAGAGTAATTGTTCACACTGCACAATACTTCTCCCCTAATCGATAGGATTTGTCTCAGGCTTCCTTGGGATCGTGACTGTCCCCGAACATCCCCACGTGTTCACCAGAGGAACAGAGTGTAAGAACATCCCTCACACAGCCACGGGCATGTAACAGGGCCCTGACCTGCCTGCCGGTGGGAGCAGTTCGCTTGGAGCCCGTCCATCAGGAGACAGCTGACCTGTCAGTGCCTGGGGCACTGTAATGACTGCAAAAGGCCCAGCAGTTGTTTGGGGGGAACATGGCCTTCCTGGTGATATGTAAATACCTTCCCGTACATTTCCTGATCTGAGAGCTCTCTCTAGTTTTGCAAAAAATCATTAGTTATTCTGCCACCGCGGGACAGCAAACAATGGTGGTGCTCAAACAAGGTCGGCGGAGGACACCGGAGCAGCGTGAGAACGGGCGCGGCACGGCGCACTCCAGGCGCGAGCTCACCTTTCCCACGGTCAAGTTTCCCTGCTGATCTCCCCATTGAACTGAAGAACCAATGCCAGCGACGGTGCGAACAAACACCACCCCAACATTTCAGATATAATTTAGATTAGTCCAGTCTCCAAATACTAGGAGAAACAAACACAACTCCGGAACCTGCACAGCAGGAGGGTTTATTTAAGTGCTTGCTACTAACAATGACCAAAAAGCCACAATTTACTGTCACACAAAAAGGCAATTCCCAAGACTTAACTTTCATAATGTAAGCTCTATAGCATCTTATCGTTTCCTTTATACGGGTTATGCATTGGAATGATAGACTCATTACAGCCAAAAAGGTTCTTATATATTATGGGTCTTAGTCTTTTTAGAGAACAACTTGAGATTCTGTGAACCTCTTTAAAAAAATCTTTTTTATTGATTTCAGAGAGGAAGGGAGAGGGAGAGACAGAAACATCAATGATGGCAGAGAATCACTGATCGGCTGCCTCCTGCACGCCCCCTACTGGGGATCTAGTCCACAACCTGGGCTTGTGCCCTTGACTGGAATCCAACCCAGGACCCTTCAGTCCACAGGCCGATGTTCTATCCACTGAGCCACACCAGCCAGGGCTCTGTAAACCTCTTTAAAAACACACACACCCACAAGAGCACACACACAAAATTTTGCATATAATTAGCAAGGAATCTATAGTAGAATGAAGCAATAATAAGCATCCTGTTTACAAAAAATCCTAAGGAATCTAATGAAAACTATCAGAACTAAACAAGTTCAGCAAGGTTGCGGGATTCAAGATCAAGGCACAAAAAATCAATAGTATTTCTCTATGGGAACAATGAGTACATGAAAATTTACCTAAGGAAACAACTCCATCTACAACAACATTAAAAATAAAATATTTAGGGGAAAAACTTAACGAAAGGCGTGTAAAACTCAATACTCGGAAAACTACAATGCACTGCTGAAAGAAACTAAGGACTTAACTAAACGGGAAGATCAGAAAATTTAATATTCAACCATAATTAATTCTTTAATGGTTCTCTACTGTTACTTTTCCTCTGGCCAAAAACTCAGTAATTTAAGATTTATGGAAACAACAGCCAGGTTAAACTTGGCTAAATTATGTCAAAACACTTCCACGCACTTGCTCTCCACCCAGACGCCAGCGATCCCGTCACATACCTGCACGCGCCCATGGGTGCCTTCCTGCTTCTGCTTCATATTGGGGTTCATTGTGCACCTGGGGAAGGACAAGCAGTCACCAACCGCAGAGGGAGGCCGCGGGGCGGGGCCTGCGCCTCCCCTGGGGCTGGGGGAGGGTCTTTTCTCAGCCCTGCCACTGACCCTACACATCTGTATTTTATATAAACACACCCAATAATTCTGGTTAGAAAAAGCTTGTTGCAAAAGGAAAAATATAAATGCACAGTCTAAACAAATGTACAAAACATGCCGGTGTCCTGGCTGAGGGACAGGGGGTATCCTGGCTGAGGGACAGGGGGTGTCCTAGCTGAGGGGCGGGGGGAAAGATCTGCGAAAGGCCACCAGGGAAGGCACAGCAGATCCGGGGTGCGCCCGCCTCCGTGCTGGAGAACAGCACCCCAACCTCGCCCTTTCCCAGGCGGACGGGCTGTGATGAACTCGGCTGTAACCTGGGAGCGGCTTAACGTCCGATCTGCGGAGAGGACGCCCTCACATTGTGGGACAGGTTTCCGCACCATCAGGAGCTGAGACGCCGGTAAGTACGGAGGCTAAGCCCCCACTGGACCGGACTGACCCACGTTTGGCCCCCGGCACGTGTCTGGGGACCGTCTGCCGAGTCGTGGCCATGCCTCTACTCCGTCCGGGGCGCCCACACTGGGACTGTATGACCCATCGCCCTGGGACCCCGCAGTCATCCAGGGAGTCACCAACGTCGTTTAGGAAAAAAAGTAAGTGATCGGAACAGAACTGAAAATACGCGAAAACGCGCGAGTGCATGGCCTGAGGGGAGCCGGTCCAGCTTCGGGAATGTGCTGGAGCTGGACGGCTGCGAGGTACCATGTGCCTTCGAGTCGCATTACAAATGCTGACAGCCACCGTTCCCCTGCACCTGCGCGGGGCACCGCGGTCTGCAGCCGGGCGTCCTGCACTCGCGCTCCAGTTCTTTTCAACTGAAGACACCAGCCCGGGCCTGGCTCCAAATGACAGGCTGACGCTCCGGGGAACCGGGGAACCGGTGTCACCAGCGCCAGTGCCGCTGCTTAACGAGGGGCCAGGATTCAGTGACCTTCCCCTCGAGCCCGGGGTGCGGACCCCACGCCCCTCGCCGGGACACCGCCAGTCCCTGGTCCCGGGGGCGGACGTCCCACTTCCCCACCAGCCAGCCAGGCGCGGGGCAAAATCAGGCGCCTCGCCGGCCACCCCGCCTCCTAACCCCGACCAGCAGGGGGCGCAGCGCTCCAACCGCGCGGGCCAGCCAATAGGGAGCGCGGACAGGGAGCGCGCCAAAATCGGCCCAGCCAATGGGGGGCCCGGCGGCTCACCGACTGCCCCGCCCCGTCCCCGTTCCAAAACTCACTCACCGCGACTCTGCGGACTCACGGGAGGACCGATGCCGGCGGGCGGGCAGCCCCCGCGTAAACCTCCTGCCACCGCTCACTCGTTGGAGGGAACTGTTCGGTCCTGGCCGCGCCGCGCCGCCCAGAACCCGGCCCGCTGCGCCGGCCCCACCTCCGCCCCACCGCTGACGCGCGCTGCTCCAAAAGCTCGCCAACTCCGCCCGAAGGTCACGTGACCTGGAAGAGGGGTGTGGCTTCCCGAATCCGGCCAATCGCCGCCCGCCTTGGCCCCGCCCCTGCCTGCGCCTGCGCGACGGTCGCGGCGGGTCTCTGCGCGAGGGCGTCGCTGCGTAGTCCCGTGTCCTGACCTCCGACCCCGCTCGCAGCGGGGAGAACCGCTTCCACTGCCGCCAGCACCGGAGGATGGCGAGCTGCGTGTGCAGCGCACGACTCCTCGTGGTCTGTGCGGCCCTGGCCCCGCGGCTCCCGAATGTGGGCAGAGCCTTCACATTCGGGATTTTTGCATTTTGACCCTTCGGGTTCAGGAGGCGCTCGGGTCCCACGTGGGTTCCCGCTGCCCTGCAACTCGGGGCGAGGAGACCTCCGCCCCGCGCGCGGCCAGCTTTCCTTATTGCCTCCCCAAGTCCTCACATCGTGGTCTTTGTGGGCGCGGTGCCCGGGCCCGCCTGCTGCAGGTGCCGCCGAAGCTGCGTCCCGCCTCTCAACGCGTCTTGTCCTCGGAGCGAGGGAAGGGCTCCCTCCGCGCGGCACCGCCCTGAGCCGGGCTCTCCCGTCGGTGCCCGCGACCCTGGCGCCCACGGCCGCCTCCTTCCCCGCCCCTCCCCGGACCTCTGGCGGCTGGAAATGCGCCAAGCACAGTCGGATGGCGCTGACTGTTTGAGGGGACGGTGGCACATGAAGTCTAAATCCGTAAAGGACTCAGCCCCCGCGCTGGAAACCATCAGGAGACTTGGTTTCCGGAGTGAGAATGGTGACAAGGACAAGCACGTGTTCCCTGACTTTAAAACACCCGCGGCCTCTGGCTCACTGCCCGCGTCTTCGGTCAGCGCGTGGTTCAAAGGCCTCCGAACGGCCAGCGGGGCGCGTGCAGGTCCACAGTCTATAGAGTTCCGCGCGGCCTGCGGGCGGCTCGGGAGCCACCACCTAGGAACCCGGAGGGCGCGTGCCCGGCTGCGGGCTGGATCCCCAGCAGGGGGCGCGCACGAGGCAGCAGGTCAAGGATTCTCATCATTGATGTTTCTCCCTCTCCCTTCCTCTCTGAAATCAATTAAAAAAATATATATTTTAAAAGTTACATTCAAGTACACTGCACTGGGTAACGTATAGAGCACAGTTCATAATGGAGTTGTTTCTTTCCAGAACTGAAAAGCTAGGAGAGAAAACATGAAAATGGTGAGCACGCGGAGGGTAGAATCTAACGGTTACTGTAGTTAAAACCCGCAGAGCTGTGGGAGCACTGGCGGCTTCCCAGGGGTGTCATGGAGCCCGCTTATCAGACGTCATCCGCCCCTGCTCATCGTGTCCTCCGTTTGGAATGGTGTGGGAACTTCATGCATGTCGGTGTTGTTGGACTTTTTTTTATTTCAACATCCCGAAGGAGATGATGCCTAGTTTAGGGGAATCGTGAAGGCCCAGAGCTGGCGACCACCCTTTCACCAGTTTAGGTCAGATCCCTCCGGCTTCCTGCTACATGGTCAGCTGGTATATGGGCACCGAATGCAGATTGTACCTGCACCATCCAGGTGGGGGCACCAGCCCATCATGGCTATTGAGCAGGCAGGCCTCACAGGAGTGGACGAGTCGCCGGAGGTGTGTTGTGTTTTGTTTAATCCACACCCGAGGGTATTTTCCCATTGATTTTTAGAGAGAGGGAAAGAGAGAGAAACATGGATGTGAGAGAAACACATGGATTGGTTGCCTCCTGCAGGAGCCCAGACCAGGGCCTGCAACCGAGGTGCGTACTCTTGATCGGAATCGAACCCGGGACCCTTCGGTCTGCAGACCGGTGCTCTATCCACTGAGCAAACCGGCTAGGGCTGGCCTGAGGTTTTGAGGGCTTTTCTTCCCTGCGTTCGCCTCAGCACCTGTACTCAGAACAGAGCATCTGCCGGGCAGGTGCTGACACTCACTCTAAGGAGCCCCCACCTGGGAGGAGGTCCCTGTCCCCCACCCCTTTCCCTGGTTCTTTTTGCCTCTGGCCGTTGGGCAGCAGCCTGATGTCTGGCAAAAACCACAAGCATTTTCCTGGAAAGTGTTGTGCTTGCGGCTGCCTTGCGCGGAGGGCCCCGGGCTTGCCAAGAGCAGGGCTCGGGGGAAGGAATGCCCTTGAGCAGAAGAGCCAGAAGGGATCCCGGTCAGTCGGGACACAGTGCAGACTGAGGACTGCGCGTCCCCTGTGCTGCGCTCACAGACATTTCTCTGTTGTGACTTCTGCGAGGGAGGCACACTGTTAACAGTTCTGTAAACCAAGGGCTGGGAACCTTCCTGTAAAGGGATAGAGAGTAAATAGTTTAGGCTTTCTCTGTCGTATATGGTTTGTTTTTACAGCCCCTAAAAATATAAAAGCCATTGTTAGCCTCTCTCTCTCCGTCTTTTGCTGACCTTCATTCTACATAGTTGACATTCTTAAGCTGAAGAGAAAAAGGGGAAATTAATCTAAGTTGCTTTTCCCCATTCCAAGAAACGCTATTTTCTTGTAAGAGACTTGATAAATAATCTTGAAACGGGTGCATGAAAGGATCATTTTTCTCCCTTCCCTGAGTGGCAAAGAGAAGTGAGTTCTGTGTGCAAGCCAAGTGCTAGGCAACTGGCTTATGAGTGAGCCAGGGCCGGTGCCCTCAGGTGACCGGAGGATGAGGGGAGGACCTAGGACCTGGGACATCTGGCCCTCTCAGGAGGAGGGATGGTGCAGTTGGTGAGGTCTAAGGGTGGAGTCTGGAGCAGCTGCGCGGCGACGGGGACCCCGTGCACAATGAAAATGCGGGTCTCGTGTTAAAAATGGTGAATAATTTCGAGATGGTGACAGCAGAGCAGTAAAGCAGCATAGGCCCTTCCAGCCACACTAGGGGGCACATTCTCCAAGCAGGCCCGGCCCTGCCCCACCCAGGGAGGTTCTCTAGGCAGGTACGCAAGACCCAGCCACTTACAGGCTATAAACCAGGCACTGCCTCGCCTCTGCAGGACATAATTTGGGCTCAGGCAGCGAGAGTGCAGTGCATGTTGACAGATTAGAGAAAAAGGTGCCGACCTGCCCGAGGGCACAAGGAAGGGACTGGAGAGAAGAGCGCCTGCAGGGAGCTCCGCCTCCCAGTTCAGAATCCAGGGGGACTAATGGCACCTCCTCCGGGAGGGGACCCAGGGCTGCCCAGAGGGACTTCCTTCAGTCCCGCACCCTGCCCTGGGGAAAGGGCTTTGCAAAGTACGTCTTAATAAAAGAAGCTGGAGAAGCGGCCTGCTCTGCTGCTTCCGTGGAGTTAGAACCAGTGGGAAGAGGTGACAACCAGCAAGAAAAAGAACCAATTGGTCTTCTTCATCTTCTCTGTAAAGCAATGTTTAGTCCTCTGGGAAGTTTTAACAAAGAAAAGATTGAAGCCCAATAGGAGAGGGTTAAGAGCATTGACAGTGGGGACAGTGGACTTTGATGAGCTTGAATGCTGAGCCACACGTGGCTGCAACGGAAGCTAGGGACACGGGCCCTGCCTCTGGCCCTGCTGACCTCCAGCTGCCCCTCGTTCAGGACTGGCGTCGGGAAGTGGGACCTTGCAAATAAAGCCTTCCATATCCCGTCCTTCCCCTGAAATTCTTTTCCCAGAAAGCTCATTTTCTGAAGATATTGCAAGAACCTCGCTCTTACGAGTGACAGGGGAATTTAATTCTCCCGTAACACTCCTACTTTCCAACTTTACACACATTTAAGGTTTTCTGCAGGGTGAAATCTAACCAACTGAGCTACCTGGCCAGGCCTGTTTTTTTGTTCATTTTTAAATTAAGTAAGAAAATTGGATATTTGAATCAAAATGCAGAAAATGTTAGCATGTAAGATTAGCATTAATAAGCAATGTATGTTTATTATTGGAAAAGAGATTTTAAAAAAAGGAATTAGACTAAAGCAAGATAGTTTCCCTTTTTTCCTAAATATGGTAAAACTATAGATTTAACAGAAGTAAAACAACTGGTGTTACTAGGAAGTCGCAGATGTGTTGGTTTTGCTCTTTGTTGGCTTTTAAAAATAAAGCAGCTGTTCTTTTTATTTTCCATCCATGTTGCATACTGAGTGCTTTCAAATAGCTAAAGGATCCTGAGCAGAATATTGTAATAATAAAATAATCTTCATGGGGCTTCTTTCTTATGAATTCACTATCATAATTAAGGAAAGAAGAATGAATAGTTAAAAAGATGCATTCTTTTCTCTATCCACAACATCCCTGGTCTCTCTCCCTCTTCCTGAAAGGACACC